TCACAGCTCACAGCAACCTCAAACTCTTGGGCTCAAGAGATTCTCTTATCTCAGACTCTTAACTGAGACTATAGGCACCTGCCACAGCACATGGCTTTATTTATTTATTTATTTTTATTTTTGAGACAGAGTCTCAGTATGTCACCCTCGGTAGAGTGCGGTAGCATCACAGCTCATAGCAACCTCAAACTCTTGGGCTTAAGTGATTCTCTTGCCTCAGCCTTCCAAGTAGCTGGGACTACAGGTGCCCGCCACAACACCTAGCTAATTTTTTTATTTCAGTTGCCATTGTTGTTTAGCTGGCCCAGGCTGGGTTTGAACCCGCCAGCCTTGGTGCATGTGGATGGCACCGTAACCACTGTGCTGTGGCCACTGAGCCCTAGCTATTTTTAGAGACTGGGTCTTGCTATTGCTCAGGCCAGTCTCAAACCTGTGAGCCAGGCAATACACCTGCCTCAGCTTCCCAGAGTGCTAGGATTATAGGCGTGAGCCACCACGCCCGGCAGCTTACTGACTCTTCATGTCTCATCTTTTTTTCCTAAAGTCTTATTTATTATATTGATTTAGTTACTTAATAGGTATTTCTGTGTCATTAAGTGTATCTGATAATCCCCTAAATGTTTATCATCATTCATGAATTAAGTAACATTGTGCCCACGTTAGTAAACATGGGCATAGACACAGTTCTTCTAGTTCCCTAGAAGCCAGTACGCCACATACCACACAAAAACATATTTCAAGCCATATAAAATGCAGGCATTTATCAGGACAAATCTTTTGTGTTTATTTGCTTCAGGGGATGTATAAATACCTGGAGAGATGTTTCTCAGACTTCAAGCAGAGAGGTGTTGTCGTTGGGTATGACACTCGGGGTCAAGTAACTAGCAGCTGCAGCAGTCAGAGGTACAATGTTAATTGTTTCAAAGGTTAAGTTGGAGTGGAATACAACATTAAAAAATATTTTTTGTATACTAGTAGAATTTCTGAAACAGAAGACTGTCAAATAGAAATGTGCTCACATGCTGATGTTTATTTTAGAGCTGAAATAGAAGTAAAAGCATTTTAAAGATAAGCTTTACATTTTACAGAAAGGCATAAAATCTAAAAATATTTAAAGCTCGTCATTAGAATGACATAATAGCTTATGTTATAATTTTAATATTTTGGTGAAGACATTGAATAGGAGTAATTGTGAGCTTATATTTTCTTATTATTTGATTGATTTTAGGGTATTTAACACCCTAATAGTTAACCAGGATTGTAATGATACCTTTTTTCAGGGGGTAATTAGACATATTGGGTTCATCAAAGTCTCATATTTCACTTCCATTATTTTTGCCTTCTGCAGATTTCACTTCTTAGGAAAAGAGGTACCTCAAAATGAATGAAGGAAAAGGAGGAAACCGAATGTCAATGCTTTTCATTCTTAAGCTCCTTTAAAAAATATCTTATTTAAAGTTTTTCAGTTGGAGCATAAAGGTTAAATAATCCGTGATTGTAAGAATTGGCTCTGTTAGGCTATTGTTATTCAGAATAATTGTAACATGACAACACTTATATGGAAGATTGGGTTTTAGGAAGTATGATAAGCTAAGGAGAAAATGAATTTTTCTTCTTTTTTTAGGCTTGCTAAACTCACTGCTGCAGTCTTGTTGGCCAAAGATGTTCCTGTGTACCTTTTTTCAAGATATGTCCCTACACCTTTTGTAGTAAGTATGTTGTGTTAGTGATTACACAGTTGCTGCTTTTGGAAATATTTCTTAAATCAATTAAGATTTGAATCTTTTTCATCCATATAGTTGTGTCTTGAGCGATATGAACGACCAATGGAAGGAAAATAAATTTTGCTTTGAGTTTATTTTCATTTGACAAGCATTTGCTGAACAACCTGAGAACTTGATCTATAAAAGTTGACGAGTCCACGTTATGGTGGGATATTGTAATAATCTCCTTTCAGAAATTGATTGTCAGGCAGACAAAAATGATTAAGGATAAATCTGGATATACTGTTAACTGGCATGATGGGAGGGGGTGTAAAATCGTTGTGATCAGTGATGGTAGGATATACATTATTATTAAGCAGAATTACAAAGGCTAAAAAAATGCTATAGTACTGCTTATCAAGCCATATACTTAGACCCTGATGCAATAAAATTAGTAATAAAAAAGCCCATAAAACCCCTTATGTTTGGAATTTTAAAACATATTCACAAATAGTTCATGGATTAAGGAAGATATAATGAAGATTAGAAACTATAGGCTGGTGGCACCAGTCACATACATGGAGGCTGGTGGGTTCAAACCCAGCCCAGGCCAGCTAAAAACAACAATGACAAATGCAACAAAAAAATAGCCAGGCATTGTGGTGGGTGCCTGTAGTCCCAGCTACTTGGGAGGCTGAGACAAGAGAATCTTTTGAGCCCAAGAGTTTGAGGTTGCTGTGAGCTGTGACGTTACAGTACTCTACAGCGTGAGACTGTCTCAAAAAAAAAAAAAGAAGAGAGAGAGAAACTACAGGCAGTCCTTTCTTTATGTGGTAGTACAGGGCTATAAAAGACAGTTGTGCAAGCTAAAACTGTGCAAAGTGATCTCAATAATCAATGGAACAAAATTAAAATTGTTCCATGACCTTTAAAAGTTTTTGGTCCAAACATTAAAAATCTTTTTACTCTTGGTTAAGAATGTACAGGGAAAGGGAAAAAATGGTGAAACCAATATTTATTTAATATATTGTAATTTAAAACACTGGAAACATTGAGAACAAAATATTTTCTTTTTGCAGTTTTTGGCTGGGGCTGGGTTGGAACCCACCACTTCCAGCATATGGGGCCAGCACCCTACTCCTTGAGCCACAGGCACCACCCAAAATATATTTTTTCTTTTTTTCTTTCTTTTCTTTCTTTCTTTTTTTCTTTTTTTTTTTTTTTTACAGTTTTTGGCCAGGGTTGGGTTTGAACCCACCACCTCTAGCATATGGGGCCAGCACCCTACTCCTTTGAGCCACAGGCACCACCCAAAATATTTTATTTCTTTATAAGTAAACTTATGTGGAAGTTTGATATCCTGAACAGTCCCTGTTTCTTGCCCTATAATTTACAATATAAGCAAGCATCTTTTCTGTGCTTGGCAATATTATATACCTTAACAATTTTGGATAAGCCTCCAGCATTTTACCCATTTTACTTTCAGTGTCATGAAATATCTCCAAGAGTTCCTTTAATGTGAAAATCTTCTGCTGGTGTCTTTTTCTCTGAAACATTTTCTTCCTTTCACAACCTCATACGTTCACCTTCATTGCACATCTAGAATCTCTTGAATGGTAGTAGTGTCAATATTCCCAGCTATTTTTTCTTACCTCTATTTATATTCACTTCAGATTTTCCTTCCACCATTATTACTTTTTGTTTCTCTACTGCACTTCATCTTTGTTGACCAATTCCCACTTCACTTATCTATTTTTGTAGACTGTCTTGTGGGTTTATCACTGGGACACAAGGAGGCAACACAGCTAGCTACATGCTTTGCTGTTTGTGTGAGAACTGAATAACAGAAGCTCAGTGACCAGTCACTGATGGACTTTAAAAGAGTGATGTGACTGGTCACTGATCATGATAGATCTGTTACATACCTACTAATCTATGGACTGAGAAGAAGCTTGCAGCCATGTATTACTGTGTTTACTGAAATTTGGACTTCTTGTTAGGAGACTGGAACTATTAAACAAAAACACAGTATCAGAAATTTGTGAGATATAACTAAAGCTCTACTTAAATGGAAATATATAACCTTAATGAACATATTAGGAAAAAAATATGTAAAAATAATGAGCTAAGCCTTTAACTAAATGTGTTTGTGCTTAAACAGAATAAATCCAATAGAATAAATCCAGATAAAGTAAAAAGAAGGATAAAGTATGCTCAAAAATCAAGTAAATAGAAAATAAAGAAGGTGTCAACAGGCTTGGTGCTTATAGCTCAGCAGCTAGAGTACCAGCCACATACACCAGAGCTGACAGGTTCAAATCCAGCCTGGGCCTGCCAAACAACAATGACAACTACAACCAAAAAATAGCTGGGCATTGTGGTAGACACCTGTAATCCAGCTACTTGGGAGGCTGAGGCAAGAGAATCACTTAAGCACAAGAGTTTGAGGTTGCTGTGAGCTGTGACACCACAGCACTCTACTGAGGGCAACATAGTGTGACTCTGTCTCAATAAAAAAGAATAAAAAGAAGGTATCAACAAAAGTAGTATGTCATAATATCTTTTCCTGTTATTTAGTCAAAGTTATTCTCATGTCAAATGTACAAGTAGCTAGGAAGAAAAACAGAATTATGACATTATTTTTTCAGCCATATGCAGTCCAGGAGCTCAAGGCAGTTGCAGGTGTGATGATTACTGCATCTCACAACCGCAAGGAAGACAACGGATACAAGGTAAACCTTGGACACCTGAGCTTTGCTTGTTTTAGAATTCTTATTTTATTTAAATAATATGTGCTGAGTGTATTTTCTACAATGAGTAGCAAAGCTAGACCTTGCAATAGAAGTTAAAAACATTGAGGCTGGCCCTACATTTCAATGTGTACAACTATGAAAGTCTTATGAAAGTCTTTTACTTCTCATTGCCTTTGATTTTTCTATCTCTTCTCAAATCCATCCTCTCTACAATTTCGGAAATAAAGTGATATTATACCAAGAATTTGAAGAAGGCCAAGTACAGGGTCTCACACCTGTAATCTAGTACTCTGGGAGACTCAGGTGTGAGGATTTCTTGAGCTCAGGAGTTCAAGACCAGCCTAAGCTTCTCTACTAAAAACAGAAAAATTAGCTGGACACTGTAGTGCGTGACTGTAGTCCCAGCTACTTGGGAGGCTGAGGCAAGAAGATCACTTGAACCTGAAAGTAGAGGTTGCAATGAGCTATGATGAAGCCACTGCACTCTACCCTGGGTGACAGAGACTCTGTGTCAAAAAAAAAAAAAAGAAAAGAACAAAGAGATAACTTGAAGAAAAATGATCATTTTTAGGAAGAAAGCCAGAGGAATAGTACCTGGCTTCACTGTCCTCATCCTCTGACCTTCTGCCAGTAGAGTCCGTTGGCCATAGGACCCACTCAGTGTGTCATCCTCTATAGCAGAAAGCAGAGTTGGAGAAAGTGAAAAGTGGCTTTGGATAGAAGATACACTGCACGGTGTTGAGCCAGCTTCTGAGTGATAAGTTCATGTTCTTGTGTTTGTTTTTCTTCTTGTGTGGGAGGACTCCAGACATACTTGAGAAAAAGAAAATTTAACACCAATCTAAGATTTTGGCCCTGGTCAGCTAAGTCAGCAGTATTACCATTCACAGAGACAGAAAAGAAGCATGACTAATTCAGTTTGGGACATTTTAAATTTGAGGTATTTGTGAGTTAACCAGGTAGCAATATCCTCTAGGCAGTTGGAAATATTATAGACTTATAGCTCAAGGGAGAAATCCGGGCTGAAGTTAAAGATTTTGGGGTCATCACACATAAAAGAGCATATCAACGTATTTGGAAGTCCTTTGCTTGGATGAACAGCCCAGAGACAGTATAGTATAGAAAGGAAAGAGGTCAAGAATGGATCCTAAGGGAATATCAGCATTAAGGGAAAGGAGGAAGAAGAGAAGCTGGAAATAGGAGGTAAGAAAAAGACTAGAAGAGTTTGGTGTAGTAAAAAACAAAGAGGAAAAGAGTTTCAAGGAATTAGAGGTCAACTGTCAAAGACAGCAAAGAACTCACATCTCTTCTCTGAGAATCAGACTCCTTAGCCAACCAACATCCACCATCCACACTAAGTATGGACCATAGCAGTATCTCGTTGTTGTCTTCATTTGCATTTCTCTGATGACATATGATGTGAGGCGTCGTTTCATATGCTTGTTTGCCATCTGTATATCTTCTTTGGGGAGATGTCTGTTAATGTGTTTATCCCATTTTTTAATCAGGTTATTTTCTAATTGTTGAGTTTTAACAGTTCTTTGTATATTTTGCATAACAGTCCTTTATCAGATATATCTTTTCTAAATATTTTCTCTCAGTCCATGACTTTTCATTCTCTTGATGGTGTCTTTTGCAGAGCTGAAAAATTTAAAGTCTTGTTATAGTACTTTCTTTCATGGATTGTTGCCTTTGGTGTTATATCTAAAATATTGCCAAACCTAAGAGATTCTACAGCGGGGTGTCCAACCTTTTTTTTTTCTCTGCCATAAATTGGAAGAATAAGAGTTGTCTTGGGTGACACAGTACATGGACACTGATGCAAGCTGAGTAGCAAAAAAAGGTGTGTGCATATTTTTTATGATATCTAACACCATAGATAAGCAAAAAATATCTTCACAAAGTCAGCATGTGGTGCATGAGTCTTAGGTTGGACACCCCTGCTCTAGACTATCTCTAATATTCTAGCAATTTTATAGTTTTTCATCTGTTAAAGGATTTGCCCATTGTTCTTTTGTACTTTTTCTTCTTGATTTGTGGGAATTTTTTTTTTTTTTTTTTTTGCAGTGTTTGGCTGGGGCTGGGTTTGAACCCACCACCTCTGGCAAATGGGGAGGATGCCCTACTCCTTTGAGTCACAGGCGCCGCCCAATTTGTGGGAATTCTTCACATATATACATAGCAGCTTTTGGTCATTTGTTTTGTAAATGTTGATGGCATTTTTCCCTGCATGGTATCATATATTGTATTTTTTCCATTTGGAAACAAAGTTATTTTGTCATTTTAATTTAGTATCATATTTAAGGTTAATTAAATTTCCAGTAAATTTAAATAGCTCCATTATTTTTATAATATTATAGAGTCTTCCTTTTCAAAAATAGTATATGTCTTTCTATTCCTTCAAGACTTTTAGATTCTTTAGTGGCATTTTAAAGGTTTTTTTTTTTTTTTTTTTTTTTTTGAGACGGAGCCTCAAGCTGTCCCCCTGGGTAGAGTGCCGTGGCATCACGCTCACAGCAACCTCCAACTCCTGGGCTCAAGCGAGTCTCCTGCCTCCGCCTCCCAAGTAGCTGGGACCACAGGCGCCTGCCACAGCGCCCGGCTATTTTTTGGTTGCAGCCGTCATTGTTGTTTGGCGGGTCCAGGCTGGGGATTTGAACCCGCCACCTTAGGTGTACGTGGCTGGCGCCTTAGCTGGTTGAGCTATAGGCGCTGAGCCGGTTTTTTTTTTTTTAACTAAATCTTTTCACATTTCTTTTAAAGTTTATTCTTGGGTATATTTTATTGCATGAATTTTTCTGTTATTGGATCAGATAAGAATGCTTTTTACAGGAGGTTCAGTATAGTAAAACCAACCAAACTGGCTTAGGCTGATAGGAGTTCATTTTTCTCACATAACACGAAGTCCAGAAGTAGCTGCAGATGTGGTTCTCTAGGTCAATGATGTCAGGCCTGGCATCTTTGCAGCTGTGTTTTGTTTTGTTTCGTTGCCTTTCCCTTAAACATAGCCGTCACATGATCATTGCTTCACCTCCAGGCATCATGTCCACATAAAAAGCAAAAAGAAGAGGGCAAAGAAAAAGGACAGGATTTTTTCCTTATGTTTCATAAATTTTCACTGTGAGCTTTCAGGGCCTATGGAGAAAATTTTCTTTGTAGCTTAGAATATAGGAGCATCCCTCCAGAGAAGTTTTGTTTGTTTTAAATTCTGGTAGAACCTCAAGGGTTTTACTAACTGGGAGCAATTTCTGTGTTAATTTATCAGTCTTCATTCTAAGAGAGTTAATGTGTAGACTTTAGATTTGATTTTTTTCTTTTTCAATTACCTAAAACCCAGGAAGAAATAGATATAATTCCTCATCATCTCTCTGTGAGAGTGGAGAGAACCTTTTCTGTTCTGTATTTCACTGAGAGTGAAATGCTTCAGGAATTCCATTTTCATTAAGAGGTGTCAGTTCCAACTCCCTGCACATAGGTGTTACAACCCAACAACCAGATAAAAGAACAGTTCCCAAACTCCAGGCAATGACAGTATCGGTCCCATAGGCTTATTGCTCTGGTTTTAATTCTTTCTTTTTTTCCCACTGCCTGGAGTTGTCCCTTCCCTTTTACAAAATGTTCTTTTTTTTTTTTTTTTTTTTGCTGTTTAATGTAGCATTTAGAGTTGTATTTATAGAGCAAGAAGTATATAGGTCATCTAGGTTACCATATTGCTTGGCACATATTCAAATGTATTCTTCTTTCTTTCATTCAGGAAGCAATAGAAGAAATTCATGTCATATACATGGTAGAAGTCAGCACAGATATATTCTAAGCAGAGTCCTTTCTAATTTTGGTATACTGTGAATAATAAGAATTACATTTTCTTTTTTGGTAACTGTTCCTAATGTCTTATTAATCAAACCACTTGACAAACTGAAAACATAATGGCATGTATAATACATATGAATAATTAACATCTTAATTATTTTTCCTGATGCAGACTTTATTTGGTGTGATATAAATTCTGCTTTAATTTATAATGAAAAAATAATTTTTTTCTATATCATATAGAATAATAATATAATATCAAATTTTATGGAATATTCTATGGTTTCTTAGATTATCTTTAGTATATACTTACAAGTCTAGAAATAAAATTGGATACTATGGTATATGTGTATTATAATGTTGTTGTAATGATGTCCTGCTTTATTTTACTTGTATTGTTATTAAAATATACTTCTAAGCCAAGTGCAGTGGCTCACACCTGTAATCCTAGCACTTGGGAGGCTGAGGCAGGTGGATTGCCTGAGTTCACGAGTTTGAGACCAGCCTGAGCAAGAGCGAGACTCCCCTCTCAAAAAAATAGCTGGGCATTGTGGCAGGTGCCTATAGTCCCAGTTACTTGGGAGACTGAGGCAACAGAATCGCTTAAGCCCAAGAGTTTGAGGTTGCTGTGAGCTGACACCATGGCACTCTACCAAGGGCAACAAAGTGAGACTCTCTCTCAAATAAATAAATAAAACAAAATAAAATAAAAAATTCTTCTATGGCTTGGTGCCTATGGCTCAAGCGGCTAGGGCGCCAGGCACATACACCTGAGCTGGCGGGTTCAAATACAGTGTGGGTCTGCCAAACAACAATGACGGCTGATACCAAAAAAAAAAAATAGCCAGGCATTGTGGCAGGCACCTGTAGTCCCAGCTACTTGAGAGGCGGAGGCAGGAGAATCGCTTGAGCCCAGGAATTGGAGGTTGCTGTGAGCTGTGATACCAGGTCACTCTACCCAGTTCGACAGCTTGAGGCTGTGTCTCAAAAAAAAAAAAGTTCTTCTAAAAGAGAAAATAATGTGATCATTTTATTAGAGTTCTTATGGAATCATTTCCATCAATATTTTTAATGATCTATTAAAATAGTCTTATGTTGACATTTTTAACTTGATTAATTTTATGTTTTCTCATAAAGCCAATGATCTGTACTGTAGATAAGAAACAGTCTGATAAACATTTTAAGTAATTATAGCTATATTTACCTATTATCTAGGTTTATTGGGAAAATGGTGCTCAGATCACATCTCCTCATGATAAAGAAATTCTGAAATGTATAGAAGAATGTGTGGAACCCTGGAATGGTTCCTGGAATGATAATTTAGTGGATACCAGCCCACTGAAGAGAGATCCTCTCCAAGACATTTGCAGGAGATACATGGAAGATCTGAAAAAAATCTGTTTTTACAGGTATCTAAATGGGAATATGGGATAGTATTACCTTAAAATAAAGTTAACAGGCTCGACGCCTATAGCTCAACCAGCTAAGGCGCCAGCCATGTACACCTAAGGTGGCGGGTTCGAATCCCCAGCCCGGACCCGCCAAACAACAATGACGGCTGCAACCAAAAAATAGCCGGG